TATTTTGGGGTAATGATTAAAAAAGATCCCCGACCGCTAGCATAGATTGTATCAAAAACTACCATGAAAAACCTTAGAAAAATACGATTAATTTTTATCATGTTTGTTTAAACTTCAGAACCGTAAACGTAAACCTAAGTAACTAGGTCCACAGTCTAAAATAATGACTTAATTGCCCTCAGTTTCTAGAATTAGGACTTTTTGTTGAACAATAAATTCGAGTTTTTTTTTTAATTTGTCGACCTTCAAAAACCCTCTTTTGAAGAAATAGACCAAAGAATGTTAGCAAACAAAATCTTTTCCCGGTTTGAAAAAAAATTATGGGCTCAAGTGTAAATCGTACAACAATCATCGTTTAAAAAACTGTAACGATTGCGATGCCTCTTATGTTGGTGACACAGCACAACATTTAAGGAAATAATGAAAAACGTAAAGAAATGATGATAATTTTATAAATAACTATAATTTTTTTTCGATGTATTGCCCTAAAGACTTGACTCAAATAGCATAAGTTCAGAGTCCTTATTTGACTCGATTATGAAGATTTTGACTCAATTGAAATTTATATTTATGAATTTTGAATCACATAATAAAAATTTAATAAATCTTCCAATTCGAGGTTTTCCTCGGTTATCTCGTGCCCCCATATATCGAATGCTGAGTATATTTTTTGTCGTCGCTCCGTAATGTAGTACCTACGAGTATTTTGTGCTCCTAGCTCGATTTCGGGCCGAGATTTATTTATTTCGTGCCCGTAGTACACACAATATATATTCAGGCGCCTTCGGGGGGCGTTAATTTGTGAAGCGCGTATCTGCAAATTGCCTTCAAGAGGGAAATATCTTGCTTTTGGGAGTAAACGCTATGTGAAATTGCCTATCAGAACAAAAGCAATAAGTTCTACGCTATCTCGGTACGAGCTTTCAATTCTACTTTTATTAAACATAAAAAGCATGATTATACTGTATAATATATGCATTCGTTAATAAAAAAATCATTTATGAAATTTACTGATTCAAATTTGTGTTGTGAATTTTTTTGGCAAAAAAGTTAGGTATATTTAAATCATGTGAAATTTAATATATTATTTAATTATTTTAGGATTTTGAAAATACTTTCATAATCTTATATTTTCTTATAATATAATACATACTAAAAATGTTTGGCACATTATATAGTCTAGTATGTATATACTAGCTAGGCCGGCAAATGTTGTTTAGCCATAAAAACTAACTGATTGTAAATGTAGAAATGTGCGGTAATTACACAAATTAGATGGTTTTCCCAAAATCAAGTTTTTCGACAAGCTCAGAAAAATGTTGATGGTAATTCAGTTCACACATTTTTTTCAATTAAATTCAATATGACTTTTTGCTTCAATTTCAATTTTTGGCTATACAGTGGACATTCAAATATTAACAATAAGTTTCATTTATAATTAATAATGCAATTAAAACTATTTGGTAAAAATTATAACGTCGTATCAATTTCCGTATTCGATTTAAATTCAACGATGGCAATATTGGCTCTAACGATAGTCGTAAATATAATCAAGAGACTTTAATCAAGCCGAGGAATCTGCGCTACCCACCGTGACAATATAGTCATTTGGGTTTTATCAGTTCATTAAAGGTTTGTTACTGAAATTAGATTAATACTTCACTTTCGTAATTGTAAATTTAATACAATAAAATATAATACAACTTATATTAGAACTATATACCGTAATATTTCAGTAAGTTCTATAGGACCAAGATATATATGATATGATATATCGCCAAAAAAAGTTCCATAAAAATAGGCTTAAATTTTTTTCAACAATTTCTGGAACATCCCGTACCATTTTTTTAAAGATCAACATTTTCGAATATTTTTTGAATTATTCGAAAATTTGCATTCGCACACACACACATACATCCATTTTTTCTAAGGTATGCCAAAATGTTCAGAATGTTTTGAAACGTAAAGATATATAAAAATTTTCATTTTCGATTTTTTTGCGATTACTATAACTTGCCCTACGGGAAGTTAAAAATGGCTCGGTAGATTTTCACCTAAAACTAATCAGTATCATAAAGTTTTTGATTTTTTAAAATCGATTCGGTAACATGAGCTTAAATGTGGACGAAAAGTTTAACACTTTTTTCCAAATATTTGTAAAATTTATTATTTGAATGTTAAGCTCTAGTCATTCACAAACTACTTTTTGAATTTGTTTGTAAAAGTTTGGTACTTTGATAAAAAAAAGTCTAGAAATTATTTTATTTTTTTATATTTTGAATGTTGAGTTCGAAAGTCAGTGTTTCCACAAGATAAAGAAAATATTCGACCTAAGACCATATATCAAGAATCCTTCAATCACCCCGAAGATCAGTGTTAAGTGTCCTATACCAAGTGACTTCTGCGCGCTCTTTCGCCTTGCCGCCGTTGATGATGCTGAGTCTATCGATTTTCCGGTTTCCATTCCGCTTTTCCTTCGGAGCACACGCACATTGAAAACAAATACACACGTACACACGATGTCGGGAAACCGTGAATTTCACAATCGGTTCCAGAAATTCCCATTGGCCTAAGCCCTAGGCGATGCCCAATCGGGAATGCTGGTGGTAAATCCGGGTTGAGAAATGTCGCGTGTGCACGGATGAAATTTATGTGATGACACGATCGTCTCTGAATTCCGGGCCGGATTCGGGGTGGAAATGGGTCAAGAATTTGCATTATTGGTAAGGGCAGGATTTTATTGGAAACAACTTGTATGAAGTTGATACGTGTAAGATCCAGAAAATCCTTGATTAAAATTTATAGGTAGATTAGAGCAAGGCTTATTAAGGTCCGTCATCATCATAGAAATAAAGTATAGAAATTTTTGATGATACTCTTTTAAATTAGAAAGCAAAAGATGTATAATCAAACAACCAGGAGTATAACCAGGAGATAAACGGAAATTCATCAAAATTCACACCGAAAGTATTTTGTACCATTAGTTGTTTTTTTTTTGGTTTTGTGCTATTGTATTTAGTGTGTGATACCTAATTATAATTTTTAAGTATATGTTATTGTTTGTTGTAAAAGTTATATTCAACAGTTTTTTTTATATAAGAAAAAAACACCACCAACTGATCCTTTACCCTGTTTACTATAAAAAAAATAGTGCATAAACAAGTAAATTAAGTTAACAAAGTCAATTTTAAAGTAGAATAAATTATTGGTTATTTATGGAGATACCAGATCAAGGTTGAAATATTTAGAAAAGGTGTTTCCATTACTAATGTTTTTGGGAAATCAGGAAATTTAGTGGCAATTCACGTTTGACAACTTTCGGCGTGAAATTTGGATTTAGTCAATTTATTATCAGCAATATAAGCTGATTTAGAAGGATTCAAAGGAATCAGATGAAGAAGTTTTAGCGCCACTTCAACGCCCAAATAAAGAGATTACGAGATTCGTAGATACGTAATAGTAATGCAAAGGTAATCGTATTTATGTTATAGAATGATAAAGTTTATTATTTAATATACCTCAAAAAATTGAAATCAAATGTCTTATTTAAATTTGTTTGAAATTTGGATATATTAAATTTAATAATTATACTATCAGGATAATTTTCTACTAGTTTCGTGGTAATTAAGGTATTCCAGGCACGGTTTTGTGTGGCATCATGCAGTAGTGATGTCTCATTTACTTGAAAATAAAGATCAAAAATATGTTTCCAATTAAAAATAGCCCATTTCGGGCACTACGGTGTGAAATGGCATTGGGAAAACTTTCAAACTATTCTTCCTTGAATAGAGGAAGTTTAACTCAGCTCACGGACCTGTTTTAGGGTATATATATGTATATATATATATATATATGAATGATGAGACACATCTAGTCTCGAAACGTATAAAAAATAAAGTAAATTGTTTACATTCGACGCATTGGCTGTTTTATTCATTTCAATATATATATATATATATACATATATATATATATATGTATATGACTTAAACCTTCAAGGCAATACATCAAATTAAACATTGTAAAAAATTATATCACCTTTATCTTATGTCATTTTCGGTGGGCTACAAATTGAGAAATAATATAATATAAAATAACTAAACAATGTGACAGTGAGAAAATATTAAAAATGATGAAATAGAACCAATCAAACCTAATTTATAAGAAGTAGAACCTAATTTATTATTTAAGTAGTATACTTTTTTACACTGAATATGGTAGCTCAAATGATTCCAAATTGATAAAAAAAAATCTCTGAAAGTTTCAGCTCTTGAGCCGCACTCCAACCAAAGTGTATTCGTTCTTCTTCCTAAGTAACTACTAATATTTATAAAATATATCAAATTTTTGTTGCAATTTTTTTATTTATAATCAAAATAAGAATGTTATTTCAATGTTAACAATGTTATTCTCAAAATTTTAATTCACTTGTTGCTAAGATATAAAATTCTAAAAAGCAAATGGATTTTTACCCATGTTATATGGATATGAAACTTTGGTTGGAGTGCGGACTATCTTAAACGTAATATTAAGAGCTAAAGTTTTTGGAAATTTTTGTGTTATCAATTTGAAAGCATTTAAGCAAAAGGGAGCAAAAATCCATATTAAGGACCACCCCAATATATATTTTTAATGAAAAAACAAACCAAACATGCCTAATATAATGTCTTTATGAACGACATATACTAATAATATTATTTTCACTTTTTTTTAACTTTAACTCATACTAAAAAATTTTTATTATATTTATATAGTTTCAAAAACTATTTTGGGTGAACCCTAATTCTAGTATGAATTTTACTTCTCCCACATTTCGATATGGTGAACCCAGGGTCGTCTACAAAATCCTCGTCGTCCAAATTGCCAAATTTCATAACTCTAAGCCTTTATATTACACTGAAGTGTAGTATGTATACGATCTACGGGCGGTTTATGGGCCGACCTTGAGAAAATTGAATGAACCGGCTGAGATAAACCCACAGGCGGGCGGGGACTCCGGGATGGCTCCGGGACCGTCAAATACTGGGGCGAAAAGTTCCGGGCTTTGTATTAGCACGAGCAGAATATTTAATTCGCTGTCTTCTATGGGAGTAGAAAAAGTTTTATCAGATGTATTTAATTAGAAGGATATAGAAATATAGAAATTAATTATGTCCTTTTTTATTAATTCCATTTATAAAACAATATAGCTAAAAAGTTGTATGAATCGCTGACAACTGTTGATGTTCTTGCAAATACAGGGTAATAATATTAATCGTAACTGCCTTGACAAAAATTACACAATTGTTTTATGGAGCTTGAAAATTATGACTTTTTAAGTGCAACCTAAAGCTCTGAACAAGCTGTGACCATTGTTTCAGTTATTACTTTAGTGTAGTGGTTAATTTTCATTGATTTCTTTTGAGGGGTTCACATCAGCAAAAAGGAATTTTAGACATCCACGATAGTGGGTCACAACACACCTTGTTAATACCTATGTTTTATTATTATTTTAAAGCCAATTAATTAATGTCTAAACTTGTATTTGAATCTTTACCTTAAATAGTTAATACTAAACGTTAGTATAAATGGAAATTTATAAAAAAATCGATATTAGCTGAATATAGGGTTCATGGCAAAGTATAAGGTATCCACGACACAAACAAGTTTGGAAATCTATGATCTAAACTTTGGATTCATTATTTTAGTTATGAGTTGTTAATTCTATTAATTTTGTTCATTTAAACTTTGAATCTATTATTTCAATTATTAGTAGCTAAATTTTTATTGATCTCCTTCATTTAAATTTTGAATTCGTAACTGTACATAACATTTCTAGGACCATAGTCAAAAATAAGCATAGAGTTGCTCCGAGTTTCTAAGAATTAAGACAATTTGTTAAAATTGGACTATTTTGAAAAGCTCGTCTTCAAAATAATAGTACTAAAGTGTGTAGGCAACTTTCATCAAAAGACGGCCCATTTAATCAGGATTGTAAAATGGTAAAATATTCAATAGTTTCGTGATAAAAAATTCCAGTATAAAACTTAAAAATAAGTCAGACTAAAATATTACTAGTAACCTTTTTTTCTATTGTTTTCTTGGTAGTTACGATCAATATTATCATTATATTTTCCTAGACTTTGAGCTCTAGCACACCATGTATATTAGAAAAGAATTCTGTTATTCAATCTCATAAGAAACTGTTTTGGGTCTGGTTAGAATGCAGTCAGTTCTAGGTTAGAACCTGGTTAGAATCTAGTTAGAAGTCAGCATCTATTCAGAATTTACCTAAAAGTTAAAAATTATGACCATCATCAGCTATAAATGATTTAATGAATTTGTATATTAAATTTGAATTATTTGTAAAATTTGGAAAATATAAGCAGGTAAATATTAATGAAAAGAAACTTATTTAAGTTTGAGCAATTTTTCTTATTGTCCTTGGTGAGGGACTCCACAAAATTTAGGTGCGGACCTTGCCAATGTGCACTACGCCCCTGATTTTCACCTATTATTTTACTTACATTGCTAATAAATATATAAAACTATTTTAACATGGTGGATTAATTTTAATTATTGTTTTTGTATTAGCTGGAACCACAAATCTTGTCGGAAAATTCACCCAAAGTGTTAGACGGATTGTGCAAGATGTAAAAGATGAGGGAACGGCGAGTAAGTATTAATCTGATATATATATATATATATATATATATATATATATATATATATATATATATATAATTGTTAATTATAGAGAAGTAGCACTTTGCATTCTGTAATAATTACTTGTAACAATTTTTTCTAAAGCTTTTAGATAAACTATATTCTAAACCCACAATTGCAATTACTTATAAGAATTTGAAAGTAGTCTTAATGATTTATATTCTAAATATGAAAAATAAAAATAAATATGAGAAAATTCTTTATCATGTCCAATTAATAGAACGTACACATTTATCATTTGCTACTGACAATATATTTTCCTACCAATGCTGGATAGATCCATTTCTCTGTATAAGTTTTTCCTGTTTTCAAAGAGCTGGAAGTAATTCAATTATTTTGTTATTTCTGCTTCAGTAATTGCTTCTTGAGCAATTAAAAATCAGCTATGATTTGTTTTCCTTTTTGGTCAAATACTGTCGAGGTATTTTCCTGCATATCAAGAGAATAGAACGAACTCGGATTGATTTCAATTAATTTGAAGGACAATTGTAAATGCTTATTTGCAGTAGATGGAAAATGGAAAATGGAAAATGGAAAATGATTTTTCTCATTAATAATTTTATATATTTATATATACATTGAAATGTTTATTTGTAATAATGTAATTACGTTGCACGAGTTGATTAGTTTTTAATTTGAGATTTTTACCATTTGAGTAAACTATTAGTATCAGGAACATTTGTTCTGTATTAATATACAAATTGTTATTATTTTAAAGGTGGACTAAGCAAAGACGAAGTGATAGATACCAACGAGCGTCTAAGGGCAGTTCGTATACGCCTAGAAGAGTCCTACGATACTGCCAAAAAATCGTTGGTGACCCTTATGACCAAGTACGGAGATAGCAAATCCCAGCGAAATGTTTTCCATCGTTACAATATGCTTAAACTCATGATAAAGGTGAATTAGATAATTAAAACTTCTTATAATTAATATCTAAAATTTAGAATGTGAATTGATGACCACGATGAAAGGGAGTAATGTGGCAATCCGAGTCAACCTCGGCCAAGAGTCATAATAACAATAGATGTCGATTTATAATAAAACATTTTTAATTGCACAACTGTAGTTTATATTTGTTATATTTTAAATCAAAATCAATTTGCTTAACTACGATTATGTCTTCCAGTTTTTTCGACTTACATATATTTAAATTTAGGAAGTAATACGACTGGAGACAAACTACTGGACTCTTGTGGACATTCCTAAGCAAGAAAAACAAGAAACGGTTCCTTCATTTGTTCTGAGAGCATGTTCTATTATGGAAAAAACACAAAAAAGTGGTGAAGGCGTCAAAACTTCAACAAAACTGGCAGAGGAGGCTGCTGATCGACGTGAACGAATAGAAAGATTAGGAGGTAAATTATTTTTAAAATAAATTCTGTAATATTTTATGTAAAATTCATATTATCTTTTCTTTTCCATTTTAAGTAAAACACAAAAAATAATTTTTGATAGTCATTTTACATGTAATTAAATTATTTTATTATATCTAGATATGACCACTGCCCAGATAGAAGCCGAAAACACACAAATGACAAATGATATGTATCGTCTTCTCAAAAAATATTCTGGTTTGAGGAATTTAATAAGAGAATTGAAGGTAAGTGATTGAATTTAAATTTATTAAAGAGTTCTTTTAATATTTTAATATATATGTCATCATACACACATATACCTCGAAGCATTATCAATCAATATTGTAATAATACATTAGATTTCGGTAAGTGTTTGTTTATATTTAATTTTAATTTTTCAAAGGTATATATATATATATATATATATATATATATATATATAGAGTTATGCGGAGGAAAGAAAAATGGGAGGACCTATATCGCCAAAAATATTTCAAATGTTGAGAAATCATCTTTTATATAAGTTTCTTAATAGTTATACTTTGCAAATATCCAAAATATCGATTTTTTTTTAATTTCATGCCAGAATACCCCTTTAAGAATTTAAAACAATATTCTCGTTAGAATCGCGTGACCTCAAAAAACCAAACTTTTTGGAGAATCATCAAACAATCTCAATGCTCTATATACCAGCTTTTTGGTCATTTCACGAAATCTGCATGAGGTACAAGTGGTTGGGTTGGTTCGTTGGGTAATAAAATTTATTTTTTTAGAGTGAATACATGAATTCAAAAGTCTATCCGATGTTTCCTCGATATACGATGCTGAAGGACATGATTAAGGACATAATGCACCACCCCGATTACATGGAAGTTTGCCACGAAGTGGATGCCTAGCGACGCAACACCAAAACGCAAATGGGAATCAACTAATCGCTAACAAAAACATACATTTGCGTTGAAAATGCGATTGGAATACACATTGTTAACGAATGATTAGGTAAATTTCTTATAGTTAAAGATAATCTTATTCTTTAGTTAAACAGTGGACCTATGAAACGGAACTTAAAATAATAGCCTTAACCAGTTAACTGTGTCGCTTCGATCGAACATTGCACACAATTTTGTGTCGTAAGACAGTAAAAATAGTTTTTGATAAGAAGCAAAATATATTTTTAAAATAAACAGAAGAAATTGTTATTTAAACAGTCCAATTTTGGGGAAGTTTATGCATTTTACTTTCGTGAAATGCTTTTTATTTTATATTGCTATAGCCTCAGAATATCCTAAGCAACACCACCTTTCAAAATATATTTTGTTATTTTAAAAATTCCAATAAAATAGCAATGGTTACTGATTTATACGCCTGACGATTATACTTGTCAATATACAAAATTATGCCACCGTTGCATGACGATTATATTCGTCAATCACAGTTAACTGGTTAAATACTCGTACATTGTTTGTAGACCGGCTCTTTCGAAAAAAACCTTTTGAGACAAACGCCGTCTACGAGTATATGCGACATACCTGTGTGTACGATTGTCGCCTATAGTCGACATTCAGTGTGTTTTCAAGAACTTATTTTTTTTTGTTGAATTTTTCGCCGATATTTAGTGTTTATAAATAATATAAAGTAAAAATATTAGTAGTGTTGAGTCTATTTTAAAATTTGTATTTATCCTGTGTAATTAAATTTTTAACTTATAAATCTCATTTGTCCTTGAGGTTATTTTTTATTTTTAATTGAAAGTTGAAAAGTCTTAGACATACGTTTGATAAAACAAAATTTAACATTCGGCCTGTGTAATATGTTAATTTTTCAGTGAATTCAACTACTATCAGAAAGGGTCAATAAAAAAGTTTTCACAATAACTACAAAAATTTAAAATTTTCATACAAAAATTGCGGTCCGTTTACATCTTAAACATTGTTCGAGGTTTCAATAATACCTATATATTATTATTTATAAATTTTCTAGAATATTTTAATTTGAGTGCTTTTCCTGATTTTAATGATAAATAGATTTATGGACTAATTCTCTGATAAAATAGAAATGTTACAGCAACCTTATGTTAGGGTCATATCTTCACATAAATTCGTATTAACAACTTTCACGTATATTACTATAACTTCACGTATGTGTTATCAAAGGCACATTGTTTCTAATTACACTCTCTACAATATTCATCTCTATATTTTGTGACAGACAAATAGTGACATATAGAGATGAATATTGTAGAGAGTGTAATTAGAGACAATAAACGAGTGATAAGAAACGAACAACATTTTATGTTTCACTTTTATGCGTTTTTCAAGTTAGGTTTTATATGTTAAGCACCTGACTCAGCAAATGCATAGCTTTTTGACTATTTTTACTACCAATTCATATGAATACTGGTTTGCCATAACAACGTTAAGTTACATTTCTATTTTATCGGAAATTGGTTCCTTAATGTTGAATATCTACATAAATTTTAGAAAATTTATTACGAAAATTTGGCACAGAAGACGTCTGTGCTATATTAACGATCTATAAATATTACCAACTTATTAGCTTTGTGATAAATATTAAACATACCCTGATCCAAATTAGGACATGAACTTTAATATAAAAATATAAATGAATATATAGTATTACAAATCAGATCAAATCGAAATATCTACTACCATGGATATAATATTTAACGTATTCAAATGTTTTGTAATTGATTGTAAATAGAATCTATTAAAATGCGCCGCTGTCGATGTAATTATCAGAACTATTTACTTTATAGTACGTTAAATTCATGAATAATATCGAACACCAATCAATATTATACAATAAAATATCAAAGTTAATAGTTTATTTGTAATTCTATGTAGCTAATGAAAGTATAATCAATTCTGTAGTCTAGATTATTATTTGTTTTAGATTATCTATCATGTGTGATCATAAATTATCCTTTGATAAATGTGCGTTATAGTGTAGTTGGGATAATTGGTATCCAGGGCAATATAATTTCACAGTTAAAATGAAAAAATAATAATTTTTTGTATTACTACAAATTTTATTTATCACTTAAATTTTCATCTGTGTTCGTGCATTTGTTATATTTCAGAATATCTTCTCCAATATAATTTTTATTTAAGTATGCCAATTAGTATTTTTCATCTATTTGATTTGATACTTAGTACGAAGCAAATTTTATTTATCACCTTTATTTGAACATTTATTTAGTCTCAATAAAGTTTAATCCACTGATTGAGTCATCAACTATTTTAACTTTATTTCTATGAGCCTTGATATTAATTAACTTATAAAATATTATCAATTGCTTGTTGTTACATATCTCCTCAACAAAAGTACTTACTAGATGAAATAAATTGTATAATTTTAACAAAATTAGTATGCTGTCGACCAAACTCAAAATAATATATCATGAGCGTTGTGGTGTACTTTATGTACACATTTATCGTTAGAAAAAATCCAAAACGCATTAAAAACTAAAAATATAATATTAATAATGAACATAAATGTTTGTACCGGTGTAATATTGTTATCGTTTTATATTGTATATCAGAAAATATTGTGAAGTGTGATTGACAGTGTGATTTTAGAGAAAATTAATATATGTATAGAAAAATTTAATATATGCCAATTCTTTCGGTTATGGCGTACGTTTTAGTTTTTTTTAGTTTATTTTATCTGAAAAAAAAACTTGCATAACCCATGGCTCTGGCTAGTCAACAATTTTAACACAACCACTAGTGCTACTTTTACCTGAACAGAAACGTATTTTAATATCACACGTACTAAGGGGCGTCCATCAATATCGTGAGGCTTTTAGGGAAAGGGAGGTTTGACAAAAAATCACGAAAAATCACGTCGGAGAGGGAGGGGTGTATTAGGGTATCATACGTATTTATATAGTGTGAATTTTTTTTTCGAGAGTTCAAATGTTCATAAAGAATCGATCACGTGATTAATGGACGCCCCCTTAGGAATCTGGTTTAAGAAATGAATTGCGCTGATTGTGATATGATATATATCGGTCAAACTAACCAATATTATATAAAACGCGTTCAGAAGTTAGTTCAGCAAGATCGATAGGCTTATGGGCTTACTAGTTGATTGTTTAGAAATATTGATTTGAAATTTCAATTAAGAGTGTTTGTATTAGTTATCTGTGGTTACTCTATAGATATAAAATAATTTTAAGATTTCAAATAATATTTTCGTTATAGATTTTATTTTTATTTTTCATCGGTAAAGGATACTGCTTTTAATTTTAAAATATTGAACCCAAATTTTACAGTATACCAGTATGAATCAAGGAATTTTTTTTTATTAATCGACCATACTGTTGGATAGTTCGTTCTAGAATTTCATATATATATATATATATATATATATATATATATATATATATATATATATATATATAGTAGTAACGAATTCATACTTGTTATTAATTTGTCGCTTTGCTTTGTGTCGATATGGAATTCTCAATATACCAATATATTTATATATAGGATTAGAAATAAATCTATTTTTTTCATCTTTCTTTCTAATAATAACGACAAATAAACGATTAAATACTTATAAATAAAATGTATTATTTATAATATTTATATGTATATTTATAAACACATAAAACATAGTTTATAATGTTAAAAGAAATGTATTTGTATGAAGATTTAAAAATATTGAATTTGTAGTATTAGTTAAGCTTAAAATTATAGTAAGAATGCTATATATGTGGTAAAATGTTTAAATGCTTTTTATATTGCTTTATATGATAAAAGTGTTACAACAAATTTTTATATATATATAACTTAACATAAATTTTGTTACTCTAGATACTTGATTCATCATTTAATATTTTTGGTGCAAAAAGTCTTCCTGTGTTAAGTATACAATTTAGTTGATATTGTATTTCGCTATATACATATTTTTATCTTTATTCAAAATCATTAGCATAAAATACTTTATTATTCGATGTTATTAACTCTTGTAAATGTGTAGAATAGTGTTATTAGTTAAATTTGGTTAACTCACATGAAATGCTCAATTCATTCTATGTCGAATGTAGATAGTATTTTATTTCAATTGATATAATAAATTCAATCACGGGACATGATTAAAATATTTTACCCAAAATTAAAAGTATTAATTGCAACTATTATCTAAAAGAACAGAAAAATAACTTATCCCATGTAGTTTGGTAATGACGAGCTTTTAAGTGCAAATTAGTATAAATATTAACGTAACATGGTTTTACCGTCTATGTTACAGTCTATTATATCGGAAAATTGGCCCCTTGTTTTGTAATATGTAAAAAATTGCATTGTATTGTATTGTATACAATAACCGAAAAATGGTCACAGTGCAAAGAAGCTGTACGTTGTACTTAAAAACTCATAATTTTCAAATTACATGTGATAAATTATTTTTGCTTTTTTCATGATAGTTACAATCAATATGATAACACTATCCACTCGCCAATTACGAGATTTATATGAATTTTGCCACCGGAGCGACCGCATCCGAGTCGAGAGGGTTAAGTTATTTAAAGTGAAGAAGAAGAGAACATCTCATATCCGCCAACGTTGAATATAATTGAATTTTTTAACATGAATAAAAAAAACAAGAAAAATATGAGGCCATTATATGTATAAACTATGGATTATTTGTTCAATATTCAACTTATTCCTGAAATGTTTATTTGCGCCAAATAATCAACATAAATAACTAATGTACATTTTGCCACTGTATGTGTGTTATTATTTCCCATGTTAACAAATTCAAACTAGGAAAAATTTTATGACGACTATTTTGCTAAAATAAACATATATATGCTGTGAAATACAAATAGAATTTGTACAGTAAATCGATATGTATAATTTACGATTACGTAAAACTATAATTTTTTATATTTCAATCTTATATAATGAACAAAAAAATTAATAATATTTATTTAAATTTAGATTTAAACAACAAGAAACACATCTATGAGTATCTCGTCTCGTACCATGGTTTAATGGATGGAAATGTTTGTTAATACTTCTGTTAATTCGTGAAAGATGCTATTGTTATATTAATATATTAATCAAATATTAAGTAAACTTAACAAGCAATTGTTATAATTGTATATATGTGCATATATTGCATTTAACTATATGTAAAAGTGTTAAGTATTTTATAGCTCCTTCATGTTGCTTCGCCACCGAAAAAAGCTAAATTTAAGTTGCATTGACCAATGATTAAGATATAATCCACGAAAATTGAACCAAAATTGAGCTTTATCTATATTTGATTATTATTACAAAATGTTTAAATTTAATTTGTGTACAGAATATATTTTATGTCGTTATATACGCTAAATAAATCTATTAAATATTACGATGTATAATTATTTGGAAATTACTTTATTATACAGATTAAATTAATTTTTTTGATTTTAATTGACTTTAGTATTAAATTAATCATAATTTTCTTTTCATTATTTTATTCATTTTTATTTTAAGCGTTGTATTTAGTATTTTAGCAAGAAATATATAAAATAGAATATCGATAATTGGATCACTTGTCGTCAGCCTCTAATATTTAAAACATTTGCCGTATTATAATTTCAGTAAATAATTTGTAACCTAGTTAGCGGTGTATGGCATCGTGCCTCAAGGAAATTGCTGGAACTTCCCATATCGTAACGAAATGTTCAAGGAATATTAAATATTTTGAAATAGATTATTATAAATACTGTAGCTTACACTGTCTAATATTTATAAAAATCACCTGCCTTTATTAGAAACCTGCCTTTTCCAAAAACTATTCACTTCTCCCAATCATTACAAATTGAATGTTTTTTTGGATCAATCAAATCGGATGTCTTAGGAAGGTATGCCAAATTGTGAAGATTCTTAAATTAAGTTAGTTTAAGAGTTTGTTACATTGCAATTTGAACAAAGGCAGTAATGTATTATATAAATGTAGTTAAAAATGTGAAAGTTTAGCATAAAATATATTTTAAGGAAGATATATTAATTTTTCCGGAAAAAATTATTTTGAACATGTTTTAATGACGATAGAAAAAGAACCTGTGCGTGCTCATAATGTCTAATTTTATAAGTATATATTGTTTTGTTGGTCGAATCATCGCATTTGAATTTGGCGCTTAATTTTACTTCAATTTCTATCCGCAGCGTCACTTTGGCGTTTTTTTGATCATTTTGCATGCATGGCAGCGTCGGCTCGTTATTTTAGTGGCGGCTACAAATTGGAACAGATCAATTAAAATTATGTGAGTACTTACTTTAATTCAATTCTGTAATAATTATTAGATTGTGTAAGAGTAACGAGATACGTGAACGAGGTATCAGGTATTTTTCTTAATTTACTTTTCCGAATTTACAATGTCTTGTGGTCAGAGGTTACGCGTGCACTATAATCTTATTGCATCGGTCTTAATTATCATTAGATAATCGCCGTTTTATATTTAACAGCTATTGTACGTTATTTTCTTGAGGACTATATCAATATTTTTATTATATTTTTTTAATTTTTATGTCAAAGCGTGTGCACGTGCCTATTGTGCAATTGCTATGAACCATGATTTTATATGTATTCATCAAACATTTTAGACAAAGACAGACCTCGTGTAAAGTAATCTTTGTGCATCGGTCTCCATAATAACTCTGGCATTTTTTAAAAAACTGCATATTTTGGCTTGATTGAAAATAATAAATTCTTTTTATTTTACATCCAATTATATCTATATATATATATATATATATATATATATTATAAAATAATTTATTTAATTTCATATAATTAAAACTATCAATTATATTGAGTTTGAGTTTGAATATTAGGGCCATTTTGAATGTTCGCGCGTTACGGTTGAGTGACATAGGTTAACTTCACGGCGAACTTGTCTCCAGCACTTTTTAGCGCGGGAATTAATGTCATGTAGCCTGTCAACTGTCAACTGTCATGTAGTATGTAAAAAATTAGTAATAATCCCTTATTAATTCTGCCGTCAAAGGATCGACATCTCTTGTAAATATATATGTAATATCCCGACGAATTAAACTGATTATTGATAAGTATATGTGTGTTAATTATTATATGGTATATTTATTTTAAGCTTGAAACATTGTGGTTAATGTAAACAATTGCGTAATTGTTTCTAGCTGATATTTATCAGTTATATATTATTATTATTATTATTAATAATAAGCATTTTCTTAATTTGCAGAACAACTTACCCGTCCAGGACATTATACAATAGATAATTCATAAGCTGGTCGGCTAAATATGAGATAAGTATACTTATACTATTTTTTGTAATCTCGATATGAATGAATTTAATAGTTATATATCTATTATTAGTATTATACTATTTTGCAGATTTTCCCAGAAGCCGAGTACATTGAATTGCTTCTCATTTGTATTAAGAGGACTATTGGAATCCTTAGTGCTTATCTGAAATTTGAAGTTAAGGTAATTATACTATTATTTTGTCAATAGTTAATAGAATCATATAGATCTTAAAATTATTACACTTATTTCACAGATTTCGTAAATATATATTATTTAAAAAAATTGGAAGCTCGATTATTATTTTACATTATATTATATTTAATACATTTATTCACAGAACCTGTGTCTCTGCAGCACATCGCGCTATGGGCAATTTATATGCATTTGGATTGAGTCTCGGGTATATATCTGTGAATAAAAATTAATTTGATTTATTATATTGATTCATGAGAATAATTATTTCTTTCAGATGTTTGTCCAATTGGAGTCATGTTAATACTGCAAACCTCGTTGGAGTCTCGCGAACTTTACATTTTAGTACTAATTTTTGTTCAAAGTTTAATGTTTGTTGTAATAGCGTTGTTAGTTCAGTGTCAACAACAGTTTTAGTTCTGTCGTGACCGAATGTCTAATCCTGCATAATTGTAGAGGTATGTTAATTAAATAAATTATTTTACTTATTTATTTGAGCCTTGTGGCCAAGAAATCAACACTTTTGTTCGAATATATGTTTATAATGGATATTTTTTTGTGATTTGAAGATTTATTCAAATTGAAAATAGATTTGTAGCTGAAGAATAGTTGATTATGAATAGATCTTTTTTTAAGTATGTTTTAACATTTGTAGATTCTATTATTCCGAAAATACTTCATCAAGGATAGATTTTTTTATTCGAATAGTTATAGATGAATTGTTATTTAAGTTTTAAGTTTTATTGTTAATATTAATATTGATAATAAGCATTTTTTTAATTTACAGAACATCTTATCCGTCCAGGACATTATACAATAGATAATTCATAAGCAGGTCGGCTAAATCTGAGATAAGTATACTTATACTAGTTTTTGTAATCTCAATATGAATGAATTTAATAGTTATATATCTATTATTAGTATTATACTATTTTGCATATTTTCACAGAAGCCGAGTACATTGAATTGCTTCTCATTTGTATTAAGAGGACTATTGGAATCCTTAGTGCTCATCAGAAATTTGAAGTTAAGGTACTTATACTATTATTTTGTAAATTATTTCACAGATTTTGTAAATATATATATTATTTAAAGAAATTGGAAGCTTGATTATTATTTTACATTATATTATATTTAATACATTTATTCACAGAACCTGTGTCTTCAGCACATCGCGCTATAGGCAATTTATATGCATTTGGATTGAGTCTAGGGTATGTATTTGTGAATAAAAATTAATTTGGTTTATTATATTGATTTTCAATAATAATTATTTCTTTCAGATGTTTGTCCAATTGGCGTCATGTTACTAGGTACTATAAACCTCATTGGAGTTTTGTTGGAGATTTTACCAGAAGCCAAGTACGTTAAATTGTTACTCATTTGTACTAAGAAGACTATTGGAATCCTTAGTGCTCATCAGAAATTTGAAGTTAAGGTAATTATACTATTATTTTGTCGTATGGTTTCATTTGGTTGTAGTTAATAGAATCATATAGATCTTGAAATTATTACTTATTTCACAGATTTTGTAAATATGTATTATTTAAAGATTATTATTTTACATTATATTATATTTAGTACATTTATTTACAGAACCTGTCTCTTCAGCACATCGCGCTACGGGGCAATTTATATGCATTTGGATTGAGTTTTGGGTGTGTATCTGTGAATAAAATTTAATTTGATTTATTATATTGATTCATGATAATAATTATTTCTTTCAGATGTTTGTCCAATTGGCGTCATATTAATAAGCACTATAAACCTCATTGGAGTCTTGTTGGAGATTTTACCAAAAGCCGAGTACATTGAATTGTTACTCATTTGTATTAAGAAGACTATTGGAATCCTTAGTGCTTATCAGACATTTGAAGTTAAGGTAATTATACTATTATTTTGTCGTATGGTTTCATTTGGTTGTAGTTAATAGAATCATATAGATCTCGAAATTATTACTTATTTCGCAGATTTTGTAAATATGTATTATTTAAATATTATTATTTTACATTATATTATAGTTAGTGCATTTATTCACAGAACCTGTGTTTCTTCAGCACATTGTGCTACGGGCAATTTATATGCATTTGGATTGAGTCTAGGGTATGTATTTGTGAATAAGAATTAATTTGGTTTATTATATTGATTTATAATAATTATTATTTCTTTCAGATGTTTGTCCAATTGGTGTCATATTAATAGGTACTATAAACTTTGTTGGAGTCTCATTGGAGATTTTACCAGAATCCGAGTACATTAAATTGTTACTCATTTGCATTAAGAAGACTATTGGAATCCTTAGTGCTTATTAGAAATTTGAAGTTCAGGTAATTATACTTATAACTTGCATACTTATAATTGTATTCACATGAGTATATAATTATAAATGATTAATATATTTTTACATGTTGCTGCTACAGGTCGAAATGTATTTAACCAATTTTATATGGAACTGAGAACTACATCTATTTATTACTTATGGAGACAATAATAATGGCTACCCCGATGACAGAGACAGAATAACAATAGTAAGTAATGAGATATTTCATAGGAAACATACATCTTATAATTTTTGTAAATTTGGAACTTGCGAATAATGAATATCTAGTGTAGCCGGTGTAAATTTTATTTACCCAATATGTTCTTGAATTTATATACATAATGCCATCAAAAAGTCAACTGTTGAAAATAATTACATTGAAATCGAATATCTGAGAATAAATAATATGATTTGACTTATAAAATTATGTTCCTTTTGATATAGAATAAATGTTCTGATTAAATTTTCCAGTTTTTGGAGCTGGAATTGATCGAGCTGCTCAAATGTTGAACTTCGAATTAATTGGTGAAATAGTAAACACATGAAAGAAGTATATTGCTGGAAGTTTATTTTGTTAATGTAATTAAAATATTTCGAAAGTAGTGAAAAGTGTAAAAGTTTTGTGTGTGCAATGTGATCTATGTGTGAGGTGATTTATGTGTGAAGTGATTTTTGTGATACATCCCGAAGGAGTTTTTATTATCGGAGTATGAATGCTGACTTCCAGCTAATCAAGAATGATTGTAAGGCGACATGGTAAGTGATATTCGTTTAAATGGCATGCTCATATACAGTACGATCACACCAAATTCGCGGAAATATGATTGATATCGAGCAATGAAACTAATAATACATACTTATTTTAATTTAATCATGTTTACGCTATTGCTGATAACGTTGGCATATTCCATTACTTGTAAATGACTCGTAATTCCTCTGAGTTTTCAGACTTTTATAAAGTTAGTTTCATACTAATTAGTTTTCTTGTATGAATTCAAGGAATTCACAATTTAGCCTTTTATTTTGATACTTTCTTGCAAATTATTTTTGTTTATGAATTAGTTAAATGTTCTAAATATCTTTACGCTTTTTCTATTCTTTCAGTATTTGTTTATTTCACAATAATATTAGTAAATAGTTAAGGAATTTGCGATTCAGTCTCTTTTATTTTGATACTTTCTTGCAAATTAATTTTTTTAGTTAGTTTAGTTAAAGAATTCGCGATTTAGCCTCTTCTTTATACTTTCTTGCAAATTAATTAGTTCTTTGTTAGTTTAAGGAATTCGCGATGTAGCCTCTTTTATTTTGATACTTTGTTGCAAATTAATTTGTTTTTATTAGATTAGTTAAGGAATTCGCCATTTAGCCTCTTTTATTTTGATACTTTCTTGCAAATTAATTTTTTTTGTTAGTTTAGTTGAGGAATTCACGATTTAACCTCTTTTATTTTGATATACTTTTTTATTTAATTAGTTTAATTAAAGAATTTGCGATTTAGCCTCTTTTATTTAGATACTTTCTTGCAAATTAATTTGTTTTTATTAGTTTAGTTAAGGAATTCGCGATTTAGCCTCTTTTATTTTAAAACTTTCTTGCAAATTAACTTGTTTTTATTAGTTTAGTTAAGGAATTCGCGATTTAGCCTCTTTTATTTAGATACTTTTTTGCAAATTAACTTGTTTTTATTAGTTTAGTTAAGGAATTCGCGATTTAGCCTCTTTTATTTAGATACTTTCTTGCAAATTAACTTGTTTTTATTAGTTTAGTTAAGGAATTCGCGATTTAGCCTCTTTTATTTTGATACTTTCTTGCAAATTAACTTGTTTTTATTAGTTTAGTTAAGGAATTCGCGATTTAGCCTCTTTTATTTAGATACTTTCTTGCAAATTAATTTGTTTTTATTAGTTTAGTTAAGGAATTCGACATTTAGTCTCTTTTATTTTGATACTTTCTTGCAAATTAGTTATTTCATGTTAGTTTAGTTAAGAAATTCGCGATTTAGCCTCTTTTATTTTGATACTTTATTGCAAATTATTTTTTTTGTTAGTTTAGCTAAGAAATTTGCGATTTAGCCTCTTTTATTTTGATACTTCATTGCAGATTAATTTTTTTTGTTAGTTTAGTTAAAGAATTCGCGATCTAGCCTTTTATTTTGATACTTTCTTGCAAATTGGTTATTTTTATGAATTAGTTCGTTTTTAAATATCTTGACGCTTTTTCTATTTTTTCAGTATTTATTTCACAATAATATTAGTGAATAATTAAGGAATTCGGGATTTAGTTCGATCCATATAGTTATTTCAGAATAATTGTTTAGTTTGATGTAATAAATTTGAATCGTATTTACATTGAAAATTTTATTTATAATGTTTTTATGTCGTTTTCTGTGTATGCGTGAAGAATACAATATTTTAAATAGTTGCGGTTCTACAAAAGGACAAAACCAATTTTTGCATGACCTGTGTGATCTTACTGTACATATAACTAATTATGAATGCATTTTTTTCAGAAATATTAAAATAACTGTTTAAAATAAGTGTGATGTGCATAAGTGCCTTTAGTTTGGTGAACATATTAAAAATATAAAATTTAAAAAAAAGTGGTTCGAGTTGTAGCAGCGATGCCGAATTGGGTCAATTGGCCCCAGGTAGGACTATTGCGTTTGTAGGTTTTTTATGTAATGTTTTTTTGTCATTACCTTCATATTAGATTAAAATGTTTACCAACTTGTTTCAATGTCATTTAAATTTTTATTAGAAAAAAATCATTTATTAGATTAATGTTTTTTTTTACATAATGCCATTTTTTACATAAACAATCCTACAACGATTCGCAATAGTTTTGAATTACTTTGCATGCATGTTTTTCACAACATACATTAAAAATTAGATAGAATGACTTATTTACTTTGATCGTTTAATTTGATTCGATTTGACTAGTAAGTTAGATTTGTTTTGTTTCCTTGTATGTCGAGATTTTGTTCTCGTGCTTTATTTTTGAGACTTATTATGATTCATAGATGTGTTTAAAGAATTTCTTTATCGTTGGAAGGTTTCAGTCCTACAATATTATTAGTTCTTATAAGGTTTTCTTAAATAGTTTTCATAAATAGTTGCTTTGTTTAGATTGAACATTGTTTTAATTCTTCGACGATTTTGCTATGATGGCGTTGTTAGTTCTTAAAGAGCTTCTTCAATCCGTCGATTTCTATAGCCATTAAAGGATTTTGGTCTCGATTTAATTGATTTTTCAAGAATTTTAACCGTACTTTGACTGAATATTCGTACCCTGTTTTAATTCTTCTATGGTGTTGTTGGTTGTTAGTTGTTAAAGAGCTTCAATTCGTCTATTTCTATATTCATTGGAGGATTTTGGTCGATTTTATTCGTTCTTTCTTAATTGCACCGTCGTTTGTTCTTGTATCCTTAAATTTGTTTCTTTTTGATAAATTTGCTTCTTATTAGTTCGACGTAAATTTTGTTTAGGTGAATTAGTTTGTTTGAGTTGACTAATAATAATTTGTGGATAGTGGTTTGAAAAAAAAAATTGAGGGAAAATAATTCTGGGAAAGAAAATTTTAAAGATAAAAATTTATCTATTACATATCCAAAGACACTTTGCTTTCTACCGTATATATTATATTCAAATCTACAAATTTTTTATAAAAAAATATATGTCTATTGCTCTTTACTGTATATATTATATTCTTCAAATCAAATTTTTTAAGTATATCGCTTCTTTGGAAGCATCTGATATTGCCATGTACTCGGCTTCTGTACTTGACAATGCTAGTGTTCTGTTTAGAGCTTTCCCAAGATATAATACTATTGGAGAGTTTGAAACAAAAACCTGTGTATGATTTTCTATCAACGTCGTCACTTGCCCAGTCTGCATCAGTATATCCTACCAAATTTAAATTTTAAGCCATATTTTTAGTGTCCCGCAAATACTTTAGCACCCTCTTTGCACTTTTAAAGTGACTGCTATCATAGCAATCGTTAAATTGGCTAAGATAATTTAGACTATAAGCAATATCAGGTCTTGTCATAGCATCTAAATAGATTAGACTTCCAGTGAGTTGTTGATAGGGAAACTCATGTCGAATTTTATCTGGAGACAATTTCAAATCACTTTCCATCGCAAGTTGTTACATGCATATATGACATGATCATCAAACGTTTTCTTTCTTGTTTTTTTTTTTAGACCTTTGTATTTCTATAACACTTTGCCCATAATCACTGCCAGCCTTTTGATTTTCATTTTTCTTACAAGCTACATTTCATTAACCCCCACTGAAATACTGTTCTCTACTGGTTAAATTGAGTTTTTGTTAGACACTCTTGAATATTTTCCATAATCTATAACAGTGATTCCCAACCTTCTGAATGTCTGTCTGAATGTCTGTCTGAATGTCTGTCCGAATGTCTGTCCGAATGTCTGTCCGAATGTCTGTCCGAATGTCTGTCCGAATGTCTGTCCGAATGTCTGTCCGAATGTCTGTCGAATGTCTGTCTGAATGTCTGAATGTCTGAATGTCTGTCTGAATGTCTGAATGTCTGTCTGAATGTCTGAATGTCTGGCTGAATGTCTGAATGTCTGGCTGACTGTAATGTCTGGCTGAATGTCTGAATGTCTGGCTGAATGTCTGAATGTCTGGCTGAATGTCTGAATGTCTGAATGTCTGTCTGAATGTCTGAATGCCTGTCTGAATGTTTGAATGTCTGTCTGAATGTCTGAATGTCTGAATGTCTGAATGTCTGAATGTCTGGCTGAATGTCTGAATGTCTGTCTGAATGTCTGAATGTCTGTCTGAATGTCTGTCTGAATGTCTGTCTGAATGTCTGTCTGAATGTCTGTCTGAATGTCTGTCTGAATGTCTGTTTGAATGTCTGTCTGAATGTTTGAATGTCTGTCTGAATGTCTGTCTGAATGTCTGGCTGAATGTCTGAATGTCTGGCTGAATGTCTGAATGTCTGGCTGAATGTCTGAATGTCTGGCTGAATGTCTGAATGTCTGGCTGAATGTCTGAATGTCTGAATGTCTGTCTGAATGTCTGAATGTCTGTCTGAATGTCTGAATGCCTGTCTGAATGTTTGAATGTCTGTCTGAATGTCTGAATGTCTGAATGTCTGAATGTCTGTCTGAATGTCTGAATGTCTGTCTGAATGTCTGAATGTCTGTCTGAATGTCTGTCTGAATGTCTGTCTGAATGTCTGTCTGAATGTCTGTTTGAATGTCTGTCTGAATGTTTGAATGTCTGTCTGAATGTCTGTCTGAATGTCTGCTGAATGTCTGAATGTCTGGCTGAATGTCTGATGTCTGTCTGATGTCTGTCTGAATGTCTGTCTGAATGTCTGTCTGAATGTCTGTCTGAATGTCTGGCTGAATGTCTGAATGTCTGAATGTCTGGCTGAATGTCTGAATGTCTGAATGTCTGGCTGAATGGCTGATTGTCTGAATGTCTGGCTGAATGTCTGAATGTCTGGCTGAATGTCTGAATGTCTGTCTGAATGTCTGTCTGAATGTCTGTCTGAATGTCTGTCTGAATGTCTGAATGT